TTACATCTCCTGGGTCACAGTTCATTAGAGAGCTCAAGGTAGGAACTCAGGGCAGGAACTTGGAGGCAGGAGCTGGAGCACAGGCCGTAGAGGAATGCTGCTTACTGGCTTGCTCCTCTGGCCCATGCTCAGCTTGCTTTCTTATACAATACAAAGAAAGCTGCCCAAGGGTGGCACCACCCACAGTGACTGGGCCCTCCCACATCACTCAACAATCAAGAAGATGCCCCACAGACATGGCCACAGGCCAGTCCAATGGAGGCAATTCCCCAATTGAGTCTCCCTCAACCCAGGTGTGTCAAGTTGACACTAAAGCTATCCAGCACATATCTCTTTATTGATATTTCCATTTTATTCAAGTGTTGTTTTCTTGCCTTTATCCACACTTGAGTTTGTTGAGCATCTTTGAAGGTGTTGTTTTGCAGTTACTGCCAGGTAGGACTCCATCGGGATGTTTGCTGGGACAGTTTCTTTCAGTTTACTTTCCCTCTTTGAATAATAGCGTTTCATTGGTTCTTCATACTGCTTTTTAATTACAGTTGGCAGTTCTATAGTGACCCTGAAAATCGCTTAACATTTTCAAAGCTCTGTTTCCTGATTTGTCAAATGGGAATTTGAGATTTAGTAATTCAGTAAATATTTACAGAGTTCCTTCTATGTGGCTTCCAACTTCTTTGACTCTCTTCTGTTGAGAAATGGGGTCTTCCCTTGAATATGTGCTCTGTGGCTATTTGACCAGTAGTATGTTAGGAGTACCACTGTTCCAGTTTCTATGTCAGACTTCAAGAAAATGTATCTCTCCATATCCTGTCCTTGGGGACATGGCTCTGGAGTCCAGCCACTACGCTGTGAGGAAGCCTAAGTAGCCAGCGGGTAGGCCCACATGAAGAGGAACCCACTTCCCTGCTAAAGCTCTGAGTGGGCTTACAGTTGCCAGTCAGCACCAATTTACTGTCAATGAATGGAAATCTTGAAAGTGGTCACCTCAGCTTCTTGTCATGCAACCACTTCTGGTGCCACATAGAATAGATGTGCTCCCAGTTTATCTATTTTTTAAATTTAACTTAATCCGTTCTTTAGAACAAAGCTGTGCAAAGAAATATAGTGTGAGTCACAAATATCACTTTACATTCTCTAGTAGCCACATCACAAAAATAAAAGCAAACAGGCCAAATTATTTTTAG